ATGCCCCCACCCTTTCCTAGGCTTGCAGTCTGGGTCATGAAAGATAACACTCGAGCATGGCTTAGTGCATGGGAAAGAGGGAGAGTCCACTGGCTTAGCTCTCCTGAGAAGGGAGGGAGGGAGAGATCTGAAAAACAGCCTGGCTACTTGGGGCTTCATCCTCCTGTTTGCCCTTCCGCCTGCCTTGCTAGTCTTTTTACTTTGATTTTGTTCACACTGCTTTCTGAAGCACCTTGCCATTCCCTCCCCATAGCCCTTTCATATATCTTTCAAGTTTCAATCAAGGGCACACATACCCACCTCCATGAGCCATTTTATTCTGGACTGTACAGTCACACACCATGTACAGTGTTGTGGGAGATGGCTCCACGGGCTCTTTCTATGTGGGGATGCCGTGGAGCATCCTGACACAAACCTCAGTGGGACAGCCCGTGGCACACCCAGGCTGGAGGAGACAATATTGTGTGTGCGCCATCTTTGCCTAAAACACCATGAGGCAGTGCAAGATCTGAACGATCATTTTACAACGTTCCTTCAGTCATTTTTGCATAGTTTTTCAGCTTCCTGGTGTCTGTTCTCCTTTGGTGCTTGAAGAACAATCACTTACACTTTTTAAAAATGCTTCACAGCACTCAATATAAACTTAGGCTTTTAAATAAATACTTGTTCATTTGAATGGAGCTCAAACGTGGCACGATTTTGGCCAGAGCCACAGCTACTTCTCTTCAGCAACTTTCCACTGGAGTCAAAGCGACACCTGGTGGCTCGGGAAGAAAAGTCTGCACTCAGGACACCTGTGCTCAAGCTCAGGCAAAGGTGCCAGTCAGTGCAGATGCTCTGATGACTGGCAGCACCCTTTGCTCCTGACTTTGAGCCCTTGTCTGTGTTCAGGGAGACCTGCGTTCACAAGACTGCAGAGGAGGGAGCATCCCGTGTGGTGCTGAGCACAGAGGTGCGTGATATGAAGTCATTATAATAACAGCTGGTGACTCAACCTCTCTGTATCTTAGTTTCCTCATCTCATCACATATGTGTTTGCTACTATCAGTACAAAGAAACTTGCTTGAGAAACGACCTAAAAAATGGTTTGGAAAGCAGATGGTGTCTCCTTGCAACTTCACTCCTATTGAATATTTTTACCATTGAGGGATTCGCAAAATTCCTACTCATTACCCACTCGTGGGCAGATGAATAATTCCATTGTGTGAGGTTTACAAGAAATCTGCAGTAATGATGGCTGGAGGCAGATATTGCTAGTTTTTCATCTCTAAAAAAGTAAACAGAGGAAGAAAGACTTGGAATGGCCAAGGAGGGGGCCCAGGCAAAGCCAAACAGGGCTGGGCAGGCTTTGCACCGTGAGACTGCATCAGCATCTTGGTCCTGAAAATATCTGAGAAGAGCAGAGGGCATGTTAAATGGGGCACTTCCTGGAGCGAACTCCCTCTGCGGTGATGAGGCCTTCTAAAGAACTTTCTCAGCATGCGTGGACAGGTTTTGAACTACAGGCTGCTGAATTAAGGCTATCTTGTGCTTTTTGAAGCATCTTGTAGAAAAAAGAGGCTCTTTTGATTTCCAAGCAAATGTGTTACACGTAGGTAACTCCTCAACAACTAGCCCAGTGCCTGGATTTGGTCCTATTTTTCAGGGTGTAGGAAAGTGAAAAGGTGGGACCCTGCATCCCTGAATGCTTGGGCCGTGACCCCAGCTACCCTCTTGCGAGCCCAAAGTGGGGTCTATAGGAGAAGAAGGCAAAGAAATACCCTCCTATCAGAGGCTTCACTTGGTTTCAGTTTTCCTCATCAACCAAAGTCTGAAAATCTTAGTTACGATAAGACATTTTGAGACAGAGCACATTCATCTAACTTTTATTATAGTATGTTGTTATTGTTATATTTTATTATTAATTATCATTGTTAATCTCTCACTGTGCCAATATAAAATTAAACATTATCATAGGTTTGTATAGATAGGAAAAAGCACAGTATTAAAGGATTTGGGACTATCTTCAGTTTCAGGCTTCTACTGGGGGGGTCTGGGAAGGTATTCTCCGTGGATAACGGGGGAGGACTGTCTTCCTACAGGAAGAGGACTGCTTTAGAACCAGATGAAGTTTGGGCCACAAATCTCTGTAGAAAGAAGCCTCTTGTGAACTGGATCAGACCGCATCTAGTTTTTCTATCTCCTCTAAGCATTTAAAAGCAAGCTGAATGGCCTGTATGGTCTTTTTCCTCTAGCTTTATGACCACGTCTTGATCCTACAGAGCTTGCTAGTTACACAGTGAGAATAGGGGAGGAAGAGCTCTTTGGGGGTAAGAGCATGTCAGCCTGTCTCTAAAGGGAATTGGGCTTTGGGGCCCCTCTAACTATACCAGACTTCCTTGGAGCACATTTTGATCATTATAATTTTTCAACTATATATCAAGAAAGGGTATTCGTTCATTTGCTCACTCCTCAATCATTCAACATTGAGACCATTTCATGGCACTTCCCATCCCTGCTTCTCTCTCAAGGGGCAGTCCAGAGGCATTTTGGGGTACCTCAACATGATGTGCTAGAATGTTCAAAGGAGATGGGGTTGATTGGCACCTCCTTTGGGATTCTTTAGGATTTTCCCTCTTCAAGCTTTCTCTTCCCCTATGAAGCTGATGTAATAAGAGGGACCCCAAAGTCCAGTCAAGCCTTGAAGGATTCTTCCTCTCTCCTTAGGAAGCCAATGGGTACCAGGAGAAGACACAAAGGAAAAGAAGGCCCAGAATGGTCTTCCTGACCTTGAATACTTACAATGGTGGGGAACTCACTATATTTTTTCTATCAGTGTTTTGCCCAAAAACCTCTGGACTATGATTAGTTCCTAAGACATCATCTGGGTGTCCAGGGGCCTGGGTCTGTCTGCCGTATCTTCAGAGTTCTGGTACTGGACAGAATATAATTCTGTAAGATAGATTTTTTTTTAAGTTTAAAACATTGTCTTTGAATATATGAATAGAAACTAATTGGGGGAATGTATGTCTTCTGGAAAGAGCATTCAGATAGTGGAGGTAGAGAATAAAAGCCTTTTCAGGATGACATTTTAAGGAGGATATGAAGAGTTTGTGTAACAAAAGAACCTTGTTTCAAGGAACCTGATGTGAAAATGGGGGCAGGCGTGGTAGCATGCACACTCAAAGTTAAAGAGCACACATGAATACAGGCACTGTTACATACCAGGAAAAAGAAAAACTGGCAATGTGAAGTGGAGAGTAGTGATGTTGACTAGATTTATGGGGAATGTTAGGTGGAGCAAATGGATTGGGCCTGGGTTTGGAGAAGTGGGGAGTGGGGCTAGGTGCTGGGATGGAGCACCTCCATTGGAGGTGGTAGGAAGTGGCCCGCACATGGTGGGAACCTACAGGGACGGTGAATATGAGCAGGCCCGCTTGGGTGGTTAAAGTGTTTGGGGGACCCTGTCCTTTTTGAGGATCATACCCTGGAACCTTCTTGCAGAACTTCAGTGGCCAGTCCCATGGACTTGTCCATGGCAGGTCAAGGCGCCTTGGCCTATGGATGTATATTTCACAAGGATCCCTTTCACCGGAGAGGTCTAGGAACTGGCAGGATTTAGATTTTGTACTGTGTGCAACGTGAAAAGTACAGGCAGGAACTGTTTCTGGCATGTTTTTTTTTTTATTACTTTTTTTAAAAAATAACATTATTCCTTGTTTACTTATCAGAAGTGAAAAGCATACCATTTAACACAATTTCAGGAATGTTGGACTCCACATTTGGGTATCCTTGGGGGTACTGTGTGTGGCTGTCACTGTCCAGTGCATGATGAAAACAGAAAAAAGAAAAAACAAGAACAAAGATTTTTTTCCACTGAAGAGCATGGTGGTGTGGTTAGGGTTGGATTGGATTACATTCATTCGCCATCTGTGTGTGATGCGTAAATAAACTGGTCTTCATGCCATACCCCCTCGCTAGCTGGTTCTCAGGAAGGTTATCTAACTAAGGTAGTTGAGCCTGAGTTTTCTTTCTCTTTCTCATTCTCTCTCACGTGTCCACTGCTCACACACAGCAGCCGGAAATGACACATTGAAGTGAGTCACCAATGCGGCTGTGAGTCACCCTGTAATTGGGGAAAGTTCTGTCCTGCTGGGTCGCGCAGCCCCTTGCACGCCTGCTCCTAAATATATTGGAAAATTTTGAAATCACTGTTCTCACTCTGGTCCCTCTCACCTACCACCTCCTTTTGGTCCCTAAAGTGGGCTGAAGTTGGAAACCTAGGTGGGGGTCCTAATCCATCCAGTGTAAAGGCAAGGAGAGGAGAGAATGAGGGGGTTCGGGCAGCCACGAGGTGGCAGTGTGGGCCCCACCATGCTTGTCGCCCAAGAGGGCATGACAGTCCCACAGGCAGACTCCTGTGAGGCAATGACACAGACCACAAAGGAGCTCGATAAGCAGGCTTAAATAATACATTCTTCTTGATAATCCTCTTTCTCTCTAACAAACACACAAGGACAAAGATGTAGATAAATATTCAAGAACACCCTTGGCATCCATCCCCCCCAGGAGATTGGAGCCAAGAGCTCACCTTTCTTCCTCTATGCCTACAAAGTTTATGGGAAGCAAAAATCTGCTTCTTTGAGTAAACAAGTCACCTACACTCCAAAATAACAGATGCACACTTGCTGGGGCCAGGCCACTGTGGGTCTCCGATTTGGGTGAGTAATTGCTCAGCCAACCCATAGCACCTCTGAACCCGGAAGGATGGACCTTGAAATGAAAGGGTGCTTCTTCTATGGCCTTCTCTGGCCTGCCGCCAGCCTCCTCAGCAGTGGCAGACAGTGCAAGAATGACGGCAACGTGACTGGAACACAAATCATTTCTACCAAGCACACAAAAGCTCCTGTAAGCCTTGCAGTGCCCTCCTGCCAGGGCCTCAGTGGGATCTGGGTCTGAGGACCCAAGTGGGCAGAGCCATGGGCAGGAGCAGCTGTGCACGTGGTTCTGTAAGTGTTACAGTCTGGTTTGGTGCCCTCAGGGAGCTGTGCGTTGGAGATCTCACCCTGAGTCGCCCCTCAGGATTTGACTCTAAGGTTCTCCTTCCCACTCTCCTGAGAGGCTGAGGTCTAGCAGACAGATTTGAAAGATTTACCAATAAGAAAAAAAGGCAAATGTCTTTTCTTTCTCCAGAAAGTTTCATCAAAATTCAGAATTCTTCTCTCCAGAGTTTCTTCTCTGATCCTTTTCCAGTTCTGTCCCAGATGAGTCCTGCTTTGTTTCTGCCGTCAGGGTTCCATCACTTGGCCCATGAAAAGGACTGTTCCTGAGGATGGAAGAATCATGGGTAATGAGAACCAGAGGAACAACACAGCTGCTAAGGCCTGCGTTGGATGAAGGGAGATGTGAGAAGGTGGGTGAGGTTGAGTCAGCTGTGTTGAAGACTAAGCTAGATATCGGGCACCACATCTCGACATTGTCTATGAAGAGCTCTCCTCTGAGCAGAGGATGTAGGACCAAGTTATGGACCTTGCCTGAGGCCCTCCTGGGTGCTTCTGCTCACCTGTGGGGTCAGGCTCACCTGTGGGGTTATGCCGCACCACAAACAGGAAGGGTCTGTCCATGATGATCTCCTCGGGGGCCATTCTGGCTGAGACTATGACAGCTGGAAGAGAAGGGACAGGGTCTCAGGACAGAGGGACTTCAGCATTGTCTGAGCTGATCACTAGTGTCCATGACACCAGGCCCTGTTGGGAGGCAGCACTGGTGATGGTTTTTAGGAGGCACGGTGGTTCTCCTGAACGTGAATCTTGAAAATTTAGAGAACTCCTCTGAGGCTCGGTTTCCTCCAGGAGTTTGGTAGAGATCTGTCAACTCTGCTTACAAACACATTTATCTAAACCCTTTCAGGGCTTATTGATCAGCAAGTTCCACCCCTGACTAGCCATTGTAAGAACATCCCAGCTTTCCTTAGGGGGAGCCTTTTCATTGCCCTCCTAGAAGCTATGGCCTGAGGCTCCCAGAAATGCCCCTGAATCCAGCCCACCTGTGGAGGAGGATGCCACTGTGCCGCTCTCGTTCACCTTGATCTTCACTTTCTGCAATGCCTGTGATAAGTAGAGCTGCTGTTGATCTGAAACAGGCAAACATGAGAGTAGATGAAGCAAGGTTCTCGGGAAAGGCTCCGCTGTTCTCATAGGAGCCCTCTAGTCCTCCAGGACAAGAGAAAGGAAAATCTCTTACCTGACAGACTTGTGAAGTCCGCCTGGTTTACATTAAACATGTCAGTCATCCCCAAGTTCTCCAGGGGGCCCCTGAGGTCAATTTCACTCTTCAAGGAGAACCTGTACACAGAACAGGGGAAGCTCAAGCTCAGGCTGTCCCTGGCTGCCAGCACCGTCTGACCCAGTCCCAGATCAAGTTTCTCCCCGGCAGCCCGAGAGGGTGGGGACAGATGTGAAGGTAGAAAAGCGAGGCTTGTTTTTTCAAATCTGTTTGCAAGTCTCTCTCCTCACTGGCGGTTTCTCATATTAATGAACCTTCTTCTGCAATCTCCCCTCCTCCTTGAACCTATGACTAATTACTTTGCTCAAATAAAGCAGTCATTTCAGCATAATTTTATTCAGTCTGGTTGGGAGGCCAAGAGAACATTTTCCCACAAGGCTATTTGAAAGAAAATCTGGCTTGTAAAGTGTTGTTTCTAAGAGCTAACCTTGAAGAGGACTCAAGCAGTGAGGCTTTGGGGTGCTCTCTGCTTCCCACCAGGGCACAACTAATTACCTTGATTTTTGAAACAGGAGGAAAGAGAGAGAAAACTGACTAAATTCTCCTCTTTCTCCCCAGTCTGGCATTACAGAATCTGGAAATTTGGGGTCGGTGTGTTGGGAGGCTTCTGTACAATTCTAGAATTACCCAGCCTCAGGCTTTTTGACCTTTTCTTTGATTCTACAGAAGGGTTTTTTAAACCTGCTTTGTTGGGTGCCAACTAGAAACTGTAGTCGGGGCTGCTCCATCTGCAGAAGTGGCTCCTTTGTTCCCGTTGTTTGGATACGGACTTGGGATGGGGGGGAGTGAGGGACACCCATAAAAGGGTATAGACTGATTTATCCCTCCATCTCCATCACTTCTCTGACTCTTCCCTCGCCTGACTTGCATTCTGAGGGTGGTATCAGACCACGTGGGGCACAGTTTAGAAAAGCAGAACTGGGTGGAGGGATGATGAGAGGAATCTTAATCAAACCCAGGCTTGAATGTTTCCCATCAGCCTCCCACACATGTCCCTGCCCTGCAAACGTCAAGTTTGGGAAATATGTTGGGGGTGGTACTTTGGGAGACCCGGGGGAGGGAGGTAGAGGGGATGAGGACAGTGGCGAGTGTGGCTTACTTGGGCAGAACCAGGAGGCGTGGGAGTCTGGTCATATTCCCTTTCCAGTGGCTGATAAGCTGGGCATCCAGGATGTTGGTGAGGGCAGAGAGAGGCACCTCTTTCTCATAGGGAGCCGCGATGAACATGCTGATGGTGTCCCCGTGGTAGGGCAGCTCCAGGATGTCATAGTAATGGCCGTCGGGGGTGGTGAACTCAGCTGCGAAGACATCAGCAGCTCTTGTTGAATCTAAGCCAGCACTGGGTTTCCAACTGGTCCTCGGCCCCTCCACGCTTTCTGGGACCCAGCTTTCCATCCTGGCTTTTGAGCCCTCCCACACACCACACTTCCCTTGTAGTTGTTTTTAGTCATGTTTCCCTTCTCTTCTGCCAGCTCTCTTGTCTTCTGATTTCTCTGCCTCATCTTGGCCTTCTGTACCTTTACTCCCCCACTCTCAGCCACACATTCATTCCAATCCTCATTGCCTTGGTCTCAGCTTCCACACAGCCCTTTCCTCAGCAGGGGGGAAGGTTTGTGGGCCCCAGGTGATGACGCTGAGGACCAGAGAGAGGGGTCTAGAGGACAAATGTGGATCTCAAAAATTTCTGGATCTCCACTGTTCCAGTGACCCCGGGGTCTCCTACTTGGGGAGTCTTTGTCAGAGCTGGGGTATATTCTAGGCTTTCTCATCCCAGAAATGGGAGCTCCTGGACATGAGGTGCTATAGTCTTGGGATGTAGGAAGGGACTCTTGCACTTACTGTAGTTAAACTTGTTGGTCTGAGCCATCATGGGCACAGGGATGGTGCTGCCGTCAGGCTTGTAGAAGAGGCGGTCATGGGTGGCCGACTTGGGGAAGGGTGTCTTCCATTGGCCATTGAAGTAGAGGGCATTTACTAGCACCAGATGCGTCAGCTGGTCCACAGTCCCTTCTCCAAGTAAGTCGGTGATCATGCCTATGAGAAAGCCAGGGGGTCGGGAGATAGCTCTTCTTTAGTCCCTTCAGACAGTTCCCTTCAACTCCCAATCTGCAAATGGATGTCTGTCTGTTCAAACGATCCAGTCAGATGACAGATGGGGGGTTTAAGTGAACCAATCTAGTTGCCTTTAATCTGCTCCATCTTCCTCAAAATCTCAGAAAGGATTCCAGTTCACCCCACTTTCTAGATCCATGAGCCCTATCTTGCAGCAGACCTGGAAATATAAGTCTTACTTTGCTCCCTCAGCTGCAATCTCTAAGGGTTGTGTGTTATAAATAACCTTGTGGTGGTTATTTCCGTTCTTAGGACATCTCACAACACTTTCTAGGGCTGCCTTTAGAGCAGCCTCAAGAGAAGGCCTAGTTACAAAAAACATGACACTTTGATTCTCAAAGCCCTTGACTTCTGTCTACAGACAAGCGTGTGCTCGAAGCTAGAAGCTAAGATACCTGGGCTTGTTTCCAAACCCCCTTGGTCTATCGTCCCTTGGAACCCGCCTCCTTTCCCTGCCACTCACCTTTTGTGTGTTTCTTCACCCAGTCATTGACGATGAACCTGGCTCTCTCCACCTCTGAGAAGTCCACCTGCTTGACCGTGGTCTGGAACAGCCTGAAGAAGCGGGACATGAAGCCTGGAACCAGCTTCAGATCCCGCTGGACGAAGATGGCATTGGCAGTGCTGATCTCATCCTTGTTCCATGGCCCCAAGAGTTCCTTGTGCAGTCGCCGGAGGGCAGGCGCCATGCCTTTCTCTGTGCCGAGGAAAGGAGGAAAGGACTCCGTGAGCCCCTGTTGGATGGAAGGCTCCCCCCAGGCCAACATTCCCCCAATGAGAGACCCAACCCTGCCCCATGGATGGTTGCTGCTCTCCCGGGGTCTCTGGAGGGAGATTTAGTCCCAAACTGCATCTCCCTCCTTTCATCAAAAATCTCAGGTCCTAACCCTGTCTTTGGGTTAGGATATTTTTCTCTGTTTAACTTTTTTCTTACAATAATAATAGGAATGCTAAACATTTTATATGCCCAATTCAATTTCAGCCTAACAGCAGCTTTCTGTGGTAGATCCTTTTATTGTGCCTATTTTGTAAATGGGTAAACTGAGGTTCAGAGGGGTGATGGTTACCCAGTCCATAAGTGGTGAGGCAACACTATTTTACAGCCAGCCCCTGGCCCGCACACCTTGGGGCTGAGCAAGGACCAAGGGATGCGGTGTGTGGTAGAAGGAGGTGGAGTGTCCTGGACGTGGCAGTGCCTGGATTGCAGGGCTAAGCTGGGGTCAGCCTTTCCTCTGCTTTGGGCGGGTCCCACCCCTGGCCCGTGAGGCCCCTCCTGCTCGCCTGCTCTCACCATCTGTCTTGAATCCCATCGCTGCTTGGATCTGCCGCCGGGTCTCTCCCGCTGTGGTCAGCTGCAGCATGGCCATCACAGACGCCACCCCGTAGGGGGAGAAAGCCACATTGCGATCCTTGGAGGACTGTGCCAACTGCCGGAACACCTTCACTCCAAAGTCTGTGGCCAGGTGAGCTGCCTGAGACTGGCGGTGGTGGGAGGCGGAACCCTCACCAAAGATGAGGGCCAGGCCCAGGCCTAGGCAGGCAAAGACCGGAGACATCTGCATCCTAGGAGTGGGAAAGTCTCCATGAGGGAATGTTTCCAGAAAACTGGCAGGTGGGGGGGTGAGGGGAAGGCACTTGGCCATGGACCAGACTCCCCGTATTTGCCACTGGAAGGCCGTGAGTGAACACGAGGGCAAGACTCAATAGGAAGCCACGCTGGGGGCCTCCCTGGTGGCGCAAGGGGTTAAGCACCACACTATGAAGCTGTCCACAGCCCCTGCAGCATGAGTTCGATTCAGGGAGCTACCCACATGGCGCAGCAGACCTCTCCTGACTCGACCGCTGCTCCCCTCAGCAGTGTATTTCAGTCAGTCTGCCTGTTCTGTTCCCCGTTCTGTCTCTGGTGGATCCTCTCACCCTCCTGTGCCTCTGGCCTGTACCCCAGCTCTTGTATGCATAAATAAATAAATCTTAAAAAAAGAAAAAGAAGAAGAAGCCACACTGGGTTTGGAGTCTGAGCTCTTCCCTTGGACTGAGCCCCCGAGAGAGATCTTGGAGATGGCGGGCACCACTCTCCACCGTCCTGCCCTCCCAGGAGGCTGCAGAGCTAAAGCTTAACATCTCTTATTCGTGTGATGCTTTTAAATTCTCTTACGATGTTTTCACAACTGTTGTTTCACGTCAGCAGGTGTGAAAACTTCCTTTCCTGAGGTGGGAACGGAGAGTTTCTCCGTGGAGAGGGACCCGCAGAGGCCGAGCTGCTGGGCAGTGGGCTGTGGGGGCTGGCCTCTGCCCTGCTGCCTGCAATCATTGCTACCGTAGGTGGACTCAAGGGTGCAGCATGTGCGGGGGAACACAAGACAAATGGGGGTCTCTGATGGAGGAGATTCGGGTGGGAGGGTAGTCGCTGCCTTAACCTGAAGGAAGAGGTGGAGAGAATTTGCTTTTTTTTCCTTACCTGAAGGTCTCAAGGTGCCTTGTGAATGGTGGTTTGTCCTGCTGCTGCTGCTGCTGCTGCTGCTGCTGCTGCTGCTGCTTCTGATGGTGGTGACTCCGCTGCTGGGCAGGGGGTGTGGCCCTCTTGACAGTGCTCTTGACCGTGCAGCCAGAGGCAGCTGTGCTCCTAGGAGGCCGCCACCTCCCTTTATACCAGATGCGGGCAGGAAGTAGATGAACTCATGGCCCGGCCCCACCCACTTTCTGGCTCTGGCTATCTGTCTGAACAGCCGGGCCCCCTCAGCACCTCCCCTGTGGGACTTGCTGCAGCGTGCGTATGTGTGCGTGCTGCGGCGTGTGTACGTGTGTGGGGGCCCAGGCGCAACTGAACAAACTCTGATTTGGTCAGTCTCTCCCGTGTCCCTGTCTCTTTGGATGTCATGCCAACATGACCCTTGGCAGAGCCACACAGTCCAACTGCCCGGTGTTTGGCATGTGTTTGGCAGTGCTCAGCCTGGGGAAAAGCAGCTCACACGTCCACTGTTTGGAGAAATGGGTCACTGTGGAGTTATCAAAGAAGCTAACGGTCCTGTCCTGTGGCTGTGCCCCCCTGCGCCAGTGCTGCCACCCAGTGCGCCCGCACAAAGCCAAATGCTGCCAGTGCTACTACCCAGTGCTGCCAGTGCTGCCACCCAGTGCGCCCGCCAACCTGAAAGAAACATCCCTCCCTCCTCTTGGCCTCACCCCACGGCCAGAGGGTACAGATTGTGCCAAGTGAGCGTCTGGGTCTGACTGTCTAGGACAGGAGCCCTGCAGAGAACTCCTGTCTTGCCTCTTCCCTGCCCGGCACCTGCCCCTGGATGATGCATGGCTGAGTCCCCCACGGGCCCAGACGCCGGCAGTGCCCCCAAGGGCTCTCTTTGTGTCAACAACCCTGTCTGGTGCGTGTCTGAGGTGTGCTGGGAGGCTGAAAAGGACCAAGGGTGACTGGAGTAAAGCAAGGAGCCTGGCCTTTAGGTTTCCTTTCTCTGAGCCGCCTGCGGGGGGGTGGGGGGGGGTGGGGGGGGGCAGCGGTAGTGGGGAATTATGCCTTATCCCTTTCCTCCAGAGCCAGGCGGGGCTGGAGCAGGGGAAGAGGGGACAGAAGTGAAAGAGTCAATTCATGGTGGGTTTGGGCGGGGGTGCTTCGAGGGCGTTGGGGTTGGGCGTGGAAGAGTGACCAGAAATTCTCTAGAGACATTGACTGAGGTGAGTGTGTAGGACCAGACCAGTGCATTTGAGGGCTTGGAGTAGTCAGGCTCCCTTGGCTGTGTGGCCCGGATGCTGTGGACAGAAGGGTGTCTGGAGGGAGGGTGGGGACAGTACATTTGAACTGGGGGCCCACACACTGTCCTGCTCTGTGTAGGTGGCGGGGTTCAGCTGGGTGTATCCATGGCAACAGCCGGTGGTAGAATCATAGGAAGTTGAAGTGGGTGGTAGTGTCGGGATATTTGTTTTGGATTTTTTCAGTAAACAGATACCAAGGGCAACCGGTGCTGGACAGCTTTCATCTTCTCTCTGCCTCCGTCTTTGTTTTCTCTGTTGGCCCTGGAGTCAGGTGGGGATGTGGGTGGCGAGGATGAAGGGGAAGCCTCATTTGGAAAGTTAGGGTCACTGCCCCATTACAGGGCCGCTCCCAGGTAACAGCTGCCTGTGCATGACTTTGCCTCTTCTCCATCTGGCCTTCATCCCTAAGAGCATGCCGAGGTGTGAGGGGGCAGTTACTCCCAACTTCTCTTGGGTGGGAAGAACAGAGAAGTCCAGCCCCCAACTCATCTCCTACATGCCCAGAGTGCCTTGCTGTCCATGCTTGGGGGTCAGCAGAGATCAGAGATCTGGGAGTCTGACTTGGAAGTTCCAGGCCTCGAGTGTGCAGAACAGTGGGTCAGGACTCGGCTGAAAGTGGCTCCCCTGAGGTCCACCATGCCTGGCTTCTCCAGCCACTTATGCTGAACCTTGTCCCTTCCTCCTTGCTATTCCAGAAGCTGTAGTCCTCCAGTTGCTAGGCTTCAGTCATAAAAGCCCCTGCTGATTTCCATGGACAGCCTGGGCCCTATGGTAGTGACCAATTGTCCTCACTCCTCGACCTGATGGATGACCCTCATGTCATTCTGGAAAAGATAGTCCATTCCTGGCCACAGGAGGGTCCGGAAGCAGCTGTGTGTCCACTAGGGGAAGGGAGAGTGTTTTACATTGGAAACAGAGAGGGCTGACTACTAAGGGGTATTTTCCTAAACGTGCAGGACTTAATAGTCGTGATGAATGTACTGTTATAGGGCAGCCCCGATACAAAACGGGGTGCCTGACTGTGGGTCCTCACCCGCGCGCTTAAAGGGATTTATCAATGCTCTACTGCAGGCACACGTGAAAGGTTAATAAAAGGTTTGTTTACAAGGGAAAGGGAAATGAGGAAATGTACAGCTCTGGGAGAAAAGTGGGAGACAAAGTTTTAAATGAGTCCTACCCGATCCGCCGATCAGGAATCCCAAAATGGCGCTCTGAGAGCTGGCCGCCAGCCAGGAGCGGTGAAGCCAGAAGGCGAGCGACAGCGAGCCAGCCCAAGGCCCACGTGTTTGGTTTTCATACCCAACCTGGCTGCTTAACTCCACCCTCAGGTCCCAGCCACCTTCCCTTTGGTGGTGATGGGATTTGTCTTTCCCAATGTCTTGATGGCTTTAGTCTGGAGTGGGGGTGGGGTCCACAAAGCCTGTATGGGATTAGCTCAGGACATCTTTTCCCCCTAACAGTACCAAGGCAAAGCCTAGTGTAGCTGGATCCCACACTGGTTCCTGAGGTTTCCTTTGACTTTCTGATAGCGGGAGCCGCTAGCCGATCAACCTGGACTTGACCCTGGACTTGACCCTGGTCCCCTGGCCCACTGTGTGAAATGCCTCACCGTCACATGCCTACCCTTGGAGACCTTCCTTTGCTCGGCTCAGGCCCCCACTGACACCCTTATCAGGATCTAGTCTGATTCAAGAGACCGTCATCGTCTCTTCTCTCCCTGAACCCCAAACTAATACCCTTGGCACAGTCATCTCTGTCAAGCCTGGCTCTTTTGTAAGGGGTCAAAAGGACACAAAGGAAAAGTCCATGCTGTTGAAATAGCTGGACCTCTGGTTCCTGAAGGGTCAGAGATAAGAGGATGTTACAGGGCTCTGGATTTCTGGGGGAAATTTTGATTCCAGCGGCTGGGAAAGATGTTTCCATCTGCCCTGCAACAGGTGGTCTGTGACTAGCCCAGACTCACAACTTCTGGGACTGTCCCCCACCCACCCGCAGGCCCCAGCAGCCCACTGGGATTGAGCATTGGTCAGCACCATGGTCTCTCCGCCCTTCACCTCCCTTCCCGCCTCCCACTTCATCTTCGCTGTCCCAACGCCAGCCACCCCCTCCTTTTACTTTGTCTTTTTCGCAACTGCCTCTTCTTGAGCTCTTCTCTGCAACCCTCTGCTGTTTATCTCCTGTCCCTACCCACCGCTCTACCCTGGTCTCCCCTGTGAGATCTCACCCCGTCTCCTGCTCTCTGCTTTCCGCTGTCTCTGACTCAATCCCTTTCCCTCTCCTCTTCCAGAATCCCTTTTACAGTCAAACGCTCTGCTCCAAGCCTTCTTGTGGGAAGGACAGCCTGGCTTCCTATCAGTTACACAGGCTCCCTGGAATGTTGGAGCAGGCCTCTAGATTCTTGGTGATTTCACTGGGAGAGCCGGGGGTGGGAGGACAGGGTCCTGCTAACTCACAGCACTATTTTGGGCCTGGTCACTCTCCAAACTACACAGCACCAAAAATAGCCTGTGTTTGGGCTGGACTCTCTGGCCCTCTCCGAGGAGTGAGCTCAGGCCCGGCTCCAGGTCACAGCCACTTTCACTGATGCTCATGTTCTGGGGGCAACCCAAGAGGCCTGCCTCCCCCTGGCCAGGTCCCGCCTCACACGACGCTGACTCCCCCTTCCCTGCTCCAGCCCTTGGTCCTTTCTGCCCGGTCCTGCCCCTGCCAGCTTCAAGTACCCGGGGCCCTTTCTTAGGCAGTTGCTTTCTCCCCAGGCATATCAGAGGCTGGGGAGGAGCGGAGGGGAGGGCTCCAAGAGCCACTTGATCCTATGCAGTGGCAGGTGAGCGTCCTGAAGCCCAGAGGGCTGTGGTGTGCTGAGGACGCACAGTGACATTCTCTGTGCGTGGAGAACCGTGGTCTCTGGGTCAGACATTTTGCTGCTCGCGCGTGTTTGGCAAAGTTTAGCTCAGGGAGTGTTGTCTGGAGGTAGAGGTGGAGACGGAATCTGTCGATGGGTGGGGCAGTCGTCCCACCCTCAGGGTTGTTGTGAGGACTACGTGACAGGCTGTCTGTGGCCCCCATTCTAAGCTGTCACAGAGGGCCCACCCTTGGTTGGAGCAGAGCCAGGACAGCGACCCAGACAGTCCCAGAACTGACCCCAACACTGGACGTGGGTGTCCCCCCAGCATGGTGGGAAGGAGGGGAACTTGTTTTACCATCCTGGTAGAAATCAGCCGGAGCTTGATGGCGCCCCGTCTCGGCCCTCTGGACCTGCTCTGCCTCCCATAACCCTTTTCCCTTATCAATCCCCCATCGCACCCAGCACACGTTAATACCTGTGTACACGTCCCTTTGACTCACCGTCACTTCTGACTCTATCCTTAAGCCACTGTGGCCATCATGTTGTCTCACCCGTCTTTCCAAGGGGCAGGAGAAAGGGCAGTAGCCCCTTCCCTGGGTACCCTAAACCTTCCAGGCAAGGAGGCCTGTTCTCTTGGGAGAAAGAGGGGGAGCGAGTGGACCCCAAACAAGGGGAGGTTTGATAGGCAGGGAAGGGGGGTGAGTGTGATTTCTGGGGTAGATATCATCACAGAGGCTGGTGGGGATCGGTCAGAATGAGGTTGTTCAGGCCTGCAGTGCACCTCTGGGTCACCCGAGTTGGGTTCCATCTCTCCTTGCACTTCTCTTTCCCCGTATTTCTGGATTGTCCAACTCTGATTCACTTTCATCTTTACGAGAACTTGTTCCTCATTCTTTGCATTTCTAAGTCTCCGTTTGTCACTTTCTCCAGACACATCCTGTTTTATTTTACTTTGGTTATTATGTGAATCTTGACTTCCTCAAAATGGTCAAATATTTTTTTACAATCAATGCTCTGAGAAATAT